GTCTGGGTTCATTGCTGTGTTGGTAAGATCACTTCATAATTCTTTTTTTTTTTTTTTGCGGTACGTGGGCCTCTCCCTGTGGTGGCCTCTCCCGTTGCGGAGCACAGGCTCCGGACACGCAGGCCCAGCGGCCATGGCCCGCTGGCCCAGCTGCTCCCCGGCATGTGGGATACCCCCAGACCGGGGCACGAACCCGCGTCCCCCGCATCGGCAGGCGGACTCCCAATCACTGCGCCACCAGGGAAGCCCCGACCTTTCTTTAATATTTACAGTTCCATAATGTTCTGTGTTATGTAGATCTCCCATGTCTTTACACATTCCCTGTGGATCCCCTGTGGAATGCCTCCTTATCTCATGTCTCTCTGAAATTGTTTCTGGCTGGTCCCCCAAGCAGAATAGATTATTCCCTGCTTTGCGTTGATACTTCAAGTTGTGTGGAGCTTAACCATAGAGTCTGTCATGCTTACTGTAGTCATTTGCATTTTGTTTCCCACTCCCCTCCCTAGGACTAAGATGATTTGTCTTTGAATGGATCAGCTACATTAATTAACTTATTGGAGGGTATGAGTTATATCTCTTGGCTTCAGTCAAGGGCAGAGGTTAGACATTTATTTACTGAATAGATCACCTGGTTAGTCATCATTACATCTATATTGAACAAAAGCATGTCCATAGTTTATTTTCTGCTAAGGGAGAAAATTACTTTTAGCTTTGTTGATACAGCCATTGCTCTCTTTTTAGGCTTCCAAAGATCAATCATTTCCTAATTGAGCAATGATAATATTTATTGATAACTAAGTTTCTGGAAGAACCAATAAGAAATGTTATCAAGGTGGTTCTTAGACCATAGCATGGGAACTGTTCTCTCCTTTTGGTTCAGGAATCAGGAAACGATGAAAAAGCTTGACTTTTTGTCTGAAGACTAACTGTTAAGACTGTGTAGATTAATGCTTTATTGAGGTGGGTTGAGAGAGAAGAAAGACATTTGAATCGTAGCTGCTGTGTGGCATAGAGAGGGAAGCACTACTCCTGCCTTAAAATCTGTACAGCCCAATCATAGATGAGGCATTCAGGCTAAAGAAGGGAGTCAATTTAATACTGCTTAGTCTCCAGATTACTCTTCTTGCTCTACCTTGAAGGTCCATTTTTCAGGAAAATGGCACACAAATTTAAATCCACAGTAATACTAAAGGCACAGTCTTTTTTTCTGCATTAATTTAGCAAAGTAATTTTTCTGTAAGATCTACCTACAGAAGAACCAACCACCTATTGCACAGAAAATAATAACATTCAAATGGATGGTTGTACTCAATGGCTAATGAATTATTCATGATTGTTTGTATCAGTGCCTTGGCTCCCTGTTGATGGAGGCAGGAATAAGGAACTGCGCTTTCCAAACCAGTGCAGCTGGTCAATATCGAGGCGACAGTTCAGGTGGGATCTGAGCCTTCTCACCTCCAAATTTCATTCATGAAATGTTAAAAATTGTCAAGGCTTTTTTTTTTTTTACGTGAGAGGATACTAAAATATCAGGGAAAACACTCTGTGGTTGTATTGTAGCAATAATAATAGTACTACTTTTTTCTGTGGTGCTTTGGTTTTTAAAAATTTCCCATGTGTTGCATTTCCTTTAATTCATAGGATTATCTCAATTAGTAGAAAAAGAAACTGAGGTTTAGAGAATTTTGCCCATTCAGTGGTAGAACTAGGGTTCAATGAGAAGTCCTCTGTGTTTCATTTGAGGGCTCACCCCCTTAGCTCTCACAGCAGGGGTGTGCTGGGCATATGGTTTTCATGCTGCTGGGTCATCAGAATGACATGAATCTTCAGGGTGCCAGATTAGTCACTCAGTCTTCGAGAGAAATTTCTCTCTCATGCTTTGTGGCACTCAGATACTCCTGTGAAGTCAGAAGAGACTTCAAAATAGCAGGATTTGGTTACCAAATCTTTTGACTTTTGGTGAAAATGTATGTGTTGGAGGTAGGACTGGTGAGAGCCATGAAGGGGATACTTGAAAACGTTTATTATTCTTAAAGCAAAGTTCTGTTTGCTTAATAAAAATGTAGAGAAAAGTGTCTGTCGGCTTACTTTTTAGCCAAACACATGATAATTATTTGTTATTTAAGATATTTGATACCTTCTCTTTTGCTTTGATAATGTTCAAATGACTGTTACTAAATCTACATTATAAATACATGGTCACAAGCATGAGTTGAAGCAGATCCCAGCACGAAGGTATTAAGTAACTAAACCTCCTTTGTTCCTTCTCTCCTTCTTTATTTTCTACATCTTTTTCTTAAAGAAAATATTTTATTGATTTGTTAAATGCCATTATTTAGACATTTAAGACATGTATATTTATCTTTGGCATCTATACATCCTAAAACCTCATTCATGGCCCTATTAACTCAAACAGATGGCCTCCAGCTCTTTGCTCTGGAGTTTTGTTTCATTTTCCCTTTATCCATTTTGATTCTCAAATTAACTTTTCCTTTTTAGGTCTAGGCACAGAGTAGATGCTCTCCTTGTTTTTTTTAAAGTGGTTACTGAAAGCATCCAAACTAACAAATATTCTAATACAGTTCCTGAAGAATATTAAGAGTATCTGATTACATGTATTTGGATGTTTTTAAAAGGAGAGTGTTTGTCTCTCTCATTTCTGAACTCTAGTGTAATTTATCTGCTCCCTTCTTAATGGTTTTCTTTGTGTATGTATGTCTTTATCTTCCCATTAGATTTCATACGCCTGGTGTCTAATTAGTGCAGGCCCATGCCCACAGCATCTTCCTAGCACTTCTTAGTTTTTCAGTGAATTTTTTGATAAGTAAATCATATTATTTATTCAGGTGGCATTTTTTTAAGAGCAAAAACAAGTCTGTAATTTCACTATTCTCTATTTTAGTTACATATAGTGACATTCCAAATGAAACTAAGCCCTTGGTGTCAAGGAGTAAAATCATTAACTTAGCTAAGAGGCTGTCAGAATTTACACTAGCTCTTGCAAAATAAATTAGTTGTAAGTAGGGGAAATTTTGCTTAATTTTATCTCTGTAACTCTCTATTTCCAAAGCATTAGTGGAGCTAAAGCCTTGGATTTTGCAGCATTCTCACTGACCATTACCAATTGTATAAGCTGTTACTGAAATCC